GAGGCTTAAAATAGCCTAAAGGATACAATCTACTTCATTGCAACAAGAAGAGGATATTGGAAGGGCAACTACAAGGAGCACCTAGAAGGGGTGCAAAGAAGAGTTTTATCAAGCACTTTAGGTATTTATGTTATTAAACTAATCCTTTTATTTCGATTCTACCTTATGAGTATATGATACTAAATGTGTGCATACATTTTTAAAATGTACATAAGCTTAGAAAAAGGAAGAAAAATAGCTTCGAGGAGATGACCTACACGACTACAATAGATCAAGAGTTGGACCATTAGATGTAGGTATTTATGAGCTAAGCACTACCATGTAGGAATGTTTTAAGACTCAATTATTATTATTATTATTATTAGAGACTAAAGATGTTATTTTTATTTTTTGTTTTGAACAAGTATTTCATTTTTAAGAATAATAGTTATTTTTAAAGATGATTTTTTATGAAAATATCTTGACAATAGTTATATATTTCAAACATAACTCCCATAAATATAACATAAACACTAAAAGACTCAAATGATCTACAATAACATAAATTTATAGCAACATTAACTTAGCCACATAAATGAGAATCTCATATCCAATGTACTTATAAATGGATAACTAGAATCATTTGATGATGTCTAAGAAATCTTGTTTACTTGGCAAAGAGACATGAATCTCATTTTAGTGTAAAAGAGGAAAGAGCTACCAATAAGGCCTTAGATATAGAGATATATATAGGCCTATGTTTACCCAAGTAAGAGGAGAACATGCCTATCACATAACCTTTAATGATAGTAGATCATATTTTGGCTATAAGACATAAGTCCAAAGCATTTGAAAGGTTTAAAAGTTTAGACTTAAAAGTCATGTGAAAAATTAGTAAAAGTATTAAGACATTTCGATTCGATCAAGGTAATGAATACTTAAACGGTAAAATTTTAGATCACCTAAAAAAGAATGAGATTCTCTATGGACATCACATGTAAGACATGATGTGGTCTATGATGAGTCGAATTAATATCCCTATTTTATTTTGGGATAAACATTCCTCACTATAACCTTTATAGTGAATATGGTTCCAATTAAATCTATTTAAATAGACCTTATATGAGATATGAAAAAGAAAGAAAATGAATTTATCTTTCCTTAAGATTTGAGGCTTAGTAGACTGTCACCTATGGAGGGAGATCCACGGTCAACAAGTTTTAGTCAATCTGCTTCTTCTTCTTTGATCGTTTTTGACAAGATTTAATGTCTTTCAAGGCTTAAAATCAACACATAGCAACCCCTTGGACATGTTAGAGCTTTAAATTGGTCATTAGATAGTCTAATTTGATCAAAAAAGAGGAAGAACAAAATGGGTATGAGTTGCGGGTTGGGTTCACTTTCTTGGCCAAATTCTATCTAAAATCATCATTTTCTTCATAATTTTTGGCTTAGGGAAGTTTCGGAGGTAGTAGGAGCAAGTCTTTGGTGATGGTTATTGTTGATGTAGTCAAAAAATGTCGATTTAGGAAGAAATGGTATTGGGGTCGGGTCGAGCCGCTTTCGTTCGAGATTTCATCCTTCTTTGTCATTTTCTTTCGTTCTAACTAGTTGGAGAAGGTTAATCCGATGTTAGGCTTCAAGTATATGGTGGTTATCACCGGACAAGGGTTTTTTTAGAGATGCTCGACAAGTCTCACAAGTAAAAGAAAATTAGTCGATTTCTAGTGGCTATTTAAGAGACTTGTTTGTTTTGTCTTTTGTTTTGTTTTTTGTTTTTTTTTTTTTGGGCGGCTTTCTCTTGCCTTATTTTTTGTGTGAAAATTTTGGCCCCCTTTAAGATTTTTCTTTTCCTTTTTTGTGGGAGAAAGAGATGTATTTATATGGATTTTTAGGATTTTGGGTAAATTTTGTTCGATCCCTCATTTTCTCCTTAATTCTACTTTAATCCTTAGCCTTTTATTGTTTCAATTAGACCTTCAATTTGATTTTTATTAGTCCTCACACATTTTATGTTCTTTAATTTGTGCCCGATTGTTTTCTCTCTTTTATCTCGGTTCAATTTGTTCTTTTTTTTGGATTCCTTTTCTTTTGTTTATTTAATTAAAATTAGAAAATAATTCTAAGAAATTAAATCCTAAAAAATTACAAAAATACCTAAAAATCATGAAAAAAAATCAAGAAACTATGCAACATGCAATTTTTTGAATTTTGTATAAAAATAAAAATTATTGGGGGATCAAAAATAGGTTATGACTTATGAAAAAAGAAATTTGACATATCATCTAATTTGGTACTATGATAAAAAAATAAAAAGAATTTACTCAATTAAATTAGGTTACACTCTTGCTTTTTTAATGGATCTTTACCTGTGGGTGACAAATGATATAGACGTTAAGGGTTCCTAGTAAGATTGAACAATTTGTTTGGCGTTGTTATTCTAATGTTGTAGCAGTAATGAATAACTTGATCCGTAAAGGAGTCTAAATTATAGATGAATGCCTTTACATCCGTTCACTACTTGTTAGGTGGCTAGGATGGTTTAATTCACTTTGTCACTTTAGCTTGATACGGGGAATTAGTATCGACTCTTTTTTGGATTGGTGGATTTTTTTTTTTAACTAGGAAATATGAGAAACATCCTTAAGGGAAGAAACTTTTATAGAGAGTAGGTTTTATTTTATAGCAAATTTAGAAGCATCGAAATGATGTAATCTTCAACAATTCTCACCCCGGTCCTATGTTTATTGTAGTCCTAGTTAATGTGTAGTTTCTAAATTTGTTGCTATGACAAAGCTTGTGGAAACTATAGAGTTGTCCTAATTCTCCTCTAAATGATGTTGTTAATTCTAGTCAATGGAGAGCTCTTGAGCAAGGATTGTTAAAATGCAATGTAAATGTTGCTTGGGTAAGGACTTTAAAAGTGGTTGAATTAGGTGTGTGATTAGAGATATGCATGGTGAGTTTCTTGATGCAAAATTTATCTACTACTCTAGGTAGCTAATCCTAAAGCTTTGAAGGCTATTGCCCTTAAGGAAGCACTTCGTTAGGTGAAATGTACGTATGAATTTGCAACAAGTGGAGATTGGGTTAGATTGTTTGGAAATTGTCAAGGAGATCAATGAAGTTCAATTAGGTAGGATGTAGTAGCTTATATGAAAGATATTTGCTCGATAATATTGGAATTGTCAAAATGAATCATGTTTGTCGTGAAACCAATCGAGCGACTCTATCAAGGCATAGAGTTTCTCTACGGTAACTTATTATGATTGTGCTCCTCTTTACTTAATTAACACTCGATAGCTGAACACGTTAAATTTATATTGTGTTGTTTGTTTCTTTATTTTAATGAAATAATATTATTGGTTTTGTAAAAAAAAAAAATCTATTTATTTTTCAACATTTGTCTATTTATAAGGGACATTCCCTTCCCTGATCATCCTAGGCTTTTAGCATCAAAGAACCATTAAACGTGTGCTTGTGTTCAAGGTTTATTTAATCCCTACCCGAAGCATATGGATCCGATTTGTGTTAAAGATAAAGAGCCATTAAAATTGATTCAGAGCAAATCCCATACGTAAACCGTTTCTTTTGGTATATTCGTCCCTTTCACTTGGCCAAACTACAGATTTAATGTATGTTAGTACTGAATATATTCCTACCAGCTAAAGTAAGCTACCCTACAAGCTTGCATTAAATATTTGAGCCTCCACATCTTGCCAACTGCATTTTTGACTGAAAAACTTGAGCGGTCTAGCGTTTAAAAGTAAAATTTTCATTTGCAATTGCTTGAGAGAAATGGTCAAGAAAAGATTAACCAATCATGAATCATCTAAAAGCAGCATAGGAGCATGAGATCAAAAGATGTCCCAACAGTGCATGGCACATAGTTCGGGCACCTAACCCTACCATGTGAAAGGCACTGACAAAAGGTTAAGCAAAATAATACCCACAAGGCCTATGAAGACAAAATTCAATCCTCTCTTTTAAAACATAAACGAGCCTGATTGCCTATTTTACAAAGACTTCATGACCCAAACGATGTCGTTGTTATTTTTAAAGTAAAAGCTCAAAAACCAAAGTACTTCTTCTTACCCTAATAAAGTAAATGAGCTTACAAACTCTTTTGATAATTAGGTTCCTGTGAATTGATACCAACCAGGAAATATTGATTATATTATCGTACTTTATTGGTATTCCAACAGTTCCTTACCTTTTTTTGAAATACAATTTGGACTTTTTCTTTCAAGAGAAGCAAAATTAACATGAGAGAAATTACTTATTTTTCCATCTCATGTTAAATAAATAACCAATATTTGAGGATTGAAATATTAAAATAAATTAATTTTGTTACTAATCTTTTTAATAGTAAAAATCTAGATGATCATAGTAAATATTTAAACATGATAATAGTTTATGCTTTTTATTTATTAAAAAATATTAAATTTAATTTAAAAAAAAACTTGAAAGGGAATATTTTTTTCAAGTATTTTCATTTCATATTGAAAGTATGATTAATATTATTCTAAATAAGAGTTATGAAATTTAATTTCTTTAGATAAATATAACTTAAATATTTAAATTCTACACATTAATAAAAAATTTATCTGAAATTAATTTATTTATTACTGAATCAATAATTTATTGATTGAATTGCTTAAAAGAAACATTAATACCAATCATGTTTGTACTGAGAATAATCGGCAAACAATAGAAAATGTTTGGACATCAAAGTTGAAAGGGAGAGAGCACAATATATGTGATTAGGAAATTAGTTAGCCTAAACAAATGTAAATAACTTTATTCTCCAAAAAAAAAATAAAAAAAAATTAGTAATTAAAAAAACAAATTAGGAAAAAGAATATTAAAGTGCGAGCGTCGTGAAGGCCCGCCCTGTCACCTTCATTAAACAGAGAGAGAGAGAAAAAAAAAAAGACTTCTTCTCTCTCTTTATCGACCTTTCTCTGCTTCTCTGTCTTTCTTTACTTTGTTCTCGAGCTCTGCATAAGTGTACAGTGGCAATGTCCCCGTGTTTCACGGTCCACCGTAGCCTATGCAGAGCCCCTCTTGCAATCGGCTACCTCTACCTCTCTATGCTTCTCTCCTCATTCTTGATAGCTCATGCACAGGTACTCACATCTCTCTCTTTTCTTGAGTTTTATTACTCATGATCCGTACAATTTCACTTTCCTTTTTTTGGAAACTTAACTGAAATTTGAGTCACTTCCATAGGTGCTGCAATCCTGTACAGCAGCCACAAATTGTGGGGCAGGCCTTTACTGTGGAAACTGTCCTGCTTTGGGCAAGACTCAACCCTTTTGTACCAGAGGCCAAGCTATCATACCCAATTCTATTGTATGTTTTTTTTTTTGTTTAATTTTTTTGTGTTTGATGATGGGTTTGCGTTTTTTTGAGCTAAAACATCGTAAAGATTGTGCCTTTTTTTGTTTCTTGTGTGCATTTGCAGATAAATGGGTTGCCTTTTAATAAGTATACATGGTTAGTTACTCATAATGCTTTTAGTATTGTGGATGCACCTTCTTTGCCTGGTGTTCAGAGGCTTACATTTTATAATCAAGAAGACACTGTGACCAATCAGTTGAGGGTATGTGATCCTTGTTCTTCTTCTTCTTCTTTTTTTTTTTTTTGTTGGTTAGTTTTGTGGTACCTGAGAATCTGGAGGTTAGAGAAACCTCAATGGAAATTTTGAGCTTTTCAGTCTTTCACTTATTTACCGGTGCTAAGTTGGATGACAATTGAATGTTGAATTTTATATTTCATTCCGTTCTTGTACTTAATTTCTTGGCAATCAGACAAGCTAATTGATTCTTTTTCTTTTTCAAACGTTGATGAATATTTTACTTATCTTTACTTGTCTGTTTTTATTTCATGGTTGTTTGTTAGAATGGTGTGAGGGGGCTGATGTTGGATATGTATGATTTCGAGAATGATATCTGGCTTTGCCATTCATTTCGAGGGCAATGTTTCAACTTCACAGCGTTTGTATACATCTTTCCATTTTACCAATTTAACTAATTTGAACTTTGTTACTGATTTTTGTGGACTAGTTTATGATGCGCCCCTCTGAATTTTTTTGCAGCAACCTGCAATCAACACTTTGAGGGAAGTGGAAGCATTCTTGAGTGAAAATCCAGCTGAGATTGTGACCATTATCATTGAGGACTATGTCCATACTCCAAAAGGCTTGATAAATTTGTTCACTAATGCTGGTTTGGATAAGTATTGGTTTCCTGTGTCTAAAATGCCAAAAAAGGGAGAAGATTGGCCCACTGTAACAGAGATGGTGCAAGAAAATCACCGGCTTGTGGTATTCACTTCTGTCGCTTCAAAGGAAACAGAGGAAGGAATTGCTTATCAGTGGAAATATATGTTGGAAAATGAGGGTAAGCATTATATTCATAATCTATTGGTTTTATATAGTGTTTTTGGAGGTGCATGGTCCAGTAACAACTGCACGACGAATTGAATTTCAGCTGGAGATCCTGGGGTAAAACCAGGCTCATGCCCTAATAGAAAAGAATCAAAGCCACTGAACTCCAAAAGCGCATCACTTTTCTTAATGAATTACTTCCCGACATATCCAGTTGAAACTGAAGCTTGTAAAGAGCATTCAACTCCACTTGCTCAGATGGTTGGTACATGCTATAAAGCAGCTGGAAATGTGATGCCAAATTTTCTGGCAGTCAACTTTTACATGGTAATAGTTCTCTCATGCACTAGTAAATATGTAATATGCATATCCTATTTTAGCATTCTAACTGGGATGAATATGGTGCAGAGGAGTGATGGTGGTGGTGTTTTTGATGCAATGGATAGAATGAATGGCCAGACTTTGTGCGGTTGTAGTACTGTGACTGCTTGCCAGGTCTATCCATGTTACCTATGTAAATTAACTGCCTTATTTCCACTCTGTGGTTTAGCTGTTTCTGGAAACAGAATAAAAATTCTCCAAATTCTGACTTGCTTCCAAATTACCTAATTGATTTCGTTTGAATTCTATTCTATTCTATACTATTTGGGTTGCATTTTTCAATCAAGATTTGGATCAATATTGGCCACTAAATTGTGAAACTTGCTTCTTATCCCATTCCGGTATTGATTTTTGTGACATGATAGGATGATATTTTTATATATGAAAATATAAAAATATATAGATAGAAAAATAGAAAAAATTATATATAATTATGGGTGATGCAAATCAAATTACTTCTTTTTAGTTTTAATCGAAATAAAAATGTTAGTGAAAATAAAAAAGATCAATAGAAAGAACAATAATTTAAATCAATAGTTGGATCAATATTGGCCACTAAATCGCGAAACTTGCTTCTTATCCACTTCCGGTATTGATTGTTGTGCCATGATAGGATGACGAGTAGGAGTTTTGAATAAATGTTTAAAACATATTCATGGTATATTGTTACTGTGACAGGTTAAAAGATTTAATATGACTTGCCTTGATATAAGTTTTGAACTTGAATTCTCTTATTCCTTTTTTGTCCCCTTTCATTGAACAAAACGCAATGGATTCTTGTTTTGGTTATGGCTTGGATGATATAGTTCGATAACTTTGAGTCCTTGGATTCCACTTGTGAAGGGCTCTAGACTTGTTATGGCATTAGAATGTGAATAAATTTGTTTGTTAAAGATGCCATATTATGGTCTTTTGCAGGCTGGAGCACCTTTTGGATCTTGCAAGAATGTTGCTGTACCTGTAACAAATAATGGGGGAAGTACGAGTCCGCTGTCAAATACTGCAGGAAGCTTTACAGGATCTGTTCAATTTTCGAAATCTGTATCAACAATCCAATCTCCAAATAGATTGGTTTTCTACTTCTTTTCTATTAGCAGCATTTTTATCTTATTATGGATACAGTGAATGATTTCTGGGATGGAGGTTAGGAATCCACTCCTTTGCTTAGACAGTTAGTAATTTACTCCTTTGGTAGAGGCTTATAGTTTCCATATGTATTCTCCAATAAGAACTTGTATATCATGTCCAAGCCTTATTGAGAGGAAGGTAAAGGAATACTTTTTAGAGATATGAAGTGTGATTGTAAACAAAGAACTTTTGAGATTCTTATATTGAGGCTAAATATTAAGGAGTTGCACAGGAATCTGAGGTAGATAGTGGCCAACAGTGACCAGAATATGTCATGAAATGGTTCAGGTATGCAGTGTGCTTCACTCTAAGTTTTGTGTGGTTCTTTAAGAATTGCCGTTATTTTACTTTTAGCAACAGTAAACTATGTTCTGTTTCTTATCTTAATCATTATTTGGATTTCCATAATCCTTATAATACAAGCCTCAAATAAGTGTAGAAATGTCTGAATATATTTCATTCTGAAGCATGCCAATATGAGGACTTCTCTCTATGCAAAATTAAACAGGTTACTGCCCCGATATGTCCCACAAAATTAGGATCCAAAAGAGAGAATTAGAAGACAGTCTTACCCTAAAGCATTTCCTTTTTCTTTTTGTTTCTAAGAAGAATTCCTGTTTGTGTTTCTAGGTTTGACAGATTTTCTCTTCACGTTTTTTCAGGTTGTCTGTTGGCCATAGTATTCAGTGGCTGGAGTAGGAGAATCGAACGTCTGTGGAAGTTTTTCCATTACATCACTAGGTTTCAGCTAATTCTTGTATTATCAAACTACATTTTCTTTTGGTTTGCTTTCCCACTTATATTAGGGCCATTATCATCCTCTGCATATCACCATCTGAATATTGTGGAGCATTTAGACCGTCTGATATGGAATTGTTCCGAGGGTTTGTTTTCTAGAAATAAAACAGGGCAGGTTGCTTCACATGTTTTAGTGAATTCCAGCAATTGGAATCAAGGAGCATGATGGCTTGGTTACTGAGAATTATGGCCAAGCGATAGAGTGATGCATAAGCACAAACTAGAGTTAAGAAAACAAAATATGAACGCATCAGCAGGGTAATTGTCTTGTTTGTTCATCTGTACAAAGAACAAATCTTGATAGATTGAAAAACCTGAAGATTCATCTGTACAAAGAACAAATCTTGATGCATTCTATACAAAGCCAAATGCCATAAGTTACAGATGAATAATTAACTTAATGATACAGAGCAACAATCTAAAGGATATCGTCTGCTGTTTATTGGGTCTATTACCTTGTGATGGTGATATAAACACAAAGCAGAAATAATAATCCGTACAAAGAGCAATGGAGAACTGCATGCAAAAGTTGAGCAGCTCAGGCAACAGGCAATATTGTAGCACTTCCAACGTTTAATAGCACTCGTGGGGGTTTAATTAGAAGGGCAGGACTGATGGTAAGCAAATCAATGAAGCAATCTACAGGAACTCTAGTTCCCCATACGTTGATTGATTCGAGTTTGCGGCATTTATTTACTAGATTAAGAAGCCCGATTTCTGTTACATGGCGGCAGCTCCAAAGGACAACGCTCTAGAAAGAAAGAAGAGATGTCACTTGCTATAGACCAAGATTAATATCAGTTGAGCTAGATTTCATCACCTTCAAGCAGTTCAATTATTACACCATCACTACCATTTTACAAATAATAAGGAAGCATCTAAAATGGTGTTCAAAATGGAAATTGGGGTAATGTCACAGGCAACTCACCTTTAAATGTGGACAGCTATCCGCAATAGCAAATAAAGACTCATCTGTTATAAATGTACCACCAATGTTCAGGTGTTGCAAGGAATTAGCCTTTGAAATCTGTTGAGGAATGAAGAAAACTATGAAATATAACAACAAACTTCTGGGTTGAACCCTTTTGCATGATTGCTTGCAGAATAGTACAGACAACGAGCATCAAAACATAACACATTTATGCTCAGCTGCAAGCTACACAGAAACTATATGGACGCTAATCAAAGTTGTAGTTATCGTCTTGAAGAAGCCGCTATAACATACCAGTTGAACAACACCTCTGTCAGTGATGCTGGCCATGCCCCACAGAGATATGGATGTCAGGTTGCCGATACAGTTTGCCAAAGAAATTTGGTACAGTCCATTGTCAGTTATCTGGCAACCCCAACGGCTCCTTGAACTGAAAACAGAAAAGGCAGATGAGAAATTACTTTTTTTTATTTTTTGGGTTTTTTCCAGGTATATTTATTCTACCGTGGAGATAGAACTAAAGTTTTAACCCCCTTCCCAACAAGTTTGTCTCTAAGATTCAAACCTTACATATTAATAGAATTTCATGAGGTATTTCGCTTCCCGCTGGATCAACAACTTATTGATAAATAAGAAATTACTTTTAAACTTCAAACAACCAATTCAACCACAACATTTATTGAACGCAATTAATCATCAAATTAAAATAGCCCTTGAATATGATATAATAGTATGGGAAAGATAAAAATTCCGCTACTATAAAGGCTCTGGCTGTTCTAGGCTATCGTTCACTGGGCATTAAGAAGGGAAACAAGTTCCACTTTCTCAAGCCATTCCACAACAGCAATATTTATGATCGTATAAGATATCTAAATTCTAAGCTAGAGACATGACTGCTTATGCTTGAATCTTTCAAGAAATGTTCAAAATTATAGGAGTCATGTCAAGCAACAACCAAAACAAATGATCGCACATGTACAAACCTTGGTTTTCCAATTTTTTAGTGGTTTAATTTACTATCAATGTATAACCCATCAAAGAAAAACGACCACTGAATAGTCTCTCAATTATTAATTGAATTAGGTAGGGACAGAGAAAGGGAGAGAAGTATACATATCGAGTTCTTTGAGGTTGTAAGCAAGGCGTACAAGACGGGCAGTGGAATCATCATCCATCTTCCAACCAGCAAAGCTCAAACTGTTTCTTTGTGCCAATGATTGCTTCACCCCTTCTTTCCATTTCCTGCATACGCTACTTGTCTGGGCTAAATCAGTGAAGGAAGTGATCAAACCAAATATGTGAGCCAGCAAGTCTATTGGTAAACGATCAATCTCTGCCTCTTCCTTCTCCATATAGATTCTCTTTCTTTGTTTCTTTCAACAAAGAAACAGAAGAGAAGAGGAGAGAGAGAGGTGTTCTTTGAGTTTAGGCTGCTTTCTGTACGTAGAAACAAGAAAAATGGGACATAGGAAATTTATGAAATAATAATTATAAAGGCAAAGATCTAAATACAAGATGTGGTCATCTTTTTGACATCATTTCACCCTTTCTCTCGGTTTTTTTTTCCCCCAAAAGTACAGGTAGACAAAATATAAATTTGGTTCCTGGTCAAGAATATTGAATATTTCACGTGCAAATGCACTCCGAAGTATTTTATATTTTTTTAATTTTTCCTTCTTTAGAGATATAATTAATTTTATTCCTAACATAAACAATAAAAGTTTAATCTCTGAATTCAAGATTCAGGATGTCATTTTACTATTATTTATTTTAATTGTATCTATTTACTAAAATTTTCAATAATCGCTTCTCTATATTCTCAAATTACATCTGAATTCAAGCAATAGCAATAATTTTCTACTTGAGATTGATAAAATACTGACACATGGCATTAATTTTTTTTTAAAAAAATCTAAAAAAATAAAAAATCCAAAAAAAAAAAAAGAAAAAAAAATCCCAAAATTCTCATTTTTTCTCTACCTTTATTTATAGAAATAAATAATTAATTTCACCCCTCAAAATTGTTTTTTGCTTTCTCTCAAATTCAAAAAAAAAAGAAAAAGAAAATTTTTATGGATAAGAAGGAATAGAAGCAATATTTATTTATTTATTTCGAATCCAAACCCAAAAAAATTTTCATAATAAATTTCTAAAATAAAAAAAAATTGCTTCTATTCCTTCCTATCCAAAAAAAAAAATAATAATAATAATTCTTTTTTTGGTTTGAATTTAAGAGAAAGCAAAATATATATATTTAAGCGGTGAAATTAATTAATTATTTATATATATAAAGGTAGATCAAAAGAAGAGAATATTATGATTTTTTTTTTAAATTTCTGATTTTTTTTTAAAAATTTAATGCCACGTATCAACATCCTGTTAGTCTTAAGTCAAAAATTGTCGCCATTGCACTGAAAAATTGGATAGAGAGATGAAATTCAGACACAAATTAAGAGTAGAGAGACACGATTATTAAAAAATTTAGTAGATGAATACAAGTAAAAAAAAATAAAACGAGTGGAGGGATTGAGGGACGTCTTTGATCTTTAACCTTTTAATCTCTCATAATAAGTTCGATTTTAGAATTTGAATCCTACCAAGTGTTAAAAAATTCGTTTAGAGACCAATTCAATTACCACTAAGCCAATAACTTATTGATCTTTTTATATTGTGATTTAAACTTAAAATTTCTTGTCCGTAGAAAAGTTAATGACAAGACTCAAACTTTTATACTCGAATTAATTTCGTGATGAGTAAATTAGAAATTAGTCTCTTTATTTTCGAGAATGAATTAATTGAACCTCTTTGTTTTAAAAATTAATTAGTTAATCCTTTGATAAGTTAATTTAATATGATTTTATTTTAAAAATTAATTTTTTTCTAATCAATTCTTTTATATTTTTTACTTATTTTTTTCTTTTTCTATTTCTTAAAAAAATAAAAATAAAAAAAGAATGAAAAAGATTAAGTTACGAGAAAATTTAAAACATAAGGACTAAATAATTAGTTTTGAAAACAGAAAAGGACTATTTAATTTATTTTTCAAAACTAGAAGAACTAATTTATAATTTACTCATTTCTTCATAGCCCTATTTTCTCTCTCCTACGAATGCTAATTTATATTAAGTTCCAAAAGGTGAAAAGAAGTTAATCATATTTCTTTATATTGTGGGAGCTAACATTAAAAAATATATATGTTTTTAAGAACAAATAGATTTGATTTGCATGTGTAATTGTTTGAATGTCAAAATTAAAATTCTGGATTCAC